ATTTATTGAAGATATACCAAGAAGTCTTTGTAACTGCAACATGAACGACGGTGTGTGGCGGACAGACGAGGGCTACATCACGGACAAGACGAAACTTCCAGTGTCAGAGCTCCGAGTCGGGGATGTCGGCGATCACGGCGAGTACGGCTTTGGGACAGTGTGGCCATTGGAATGCACAGGCCTTGTCAGCCTGGTAGAACTCGGCTGATTTCGGCAAAGTACGGTTTTAACCGACGGGTCCCGAATGAAACTCAGGTCAAATTTGGCAAGTTGTAGTGTTTTCCAAAAGTTTGTAAAACTGAAAAGGTCTTGGAAAATTCGTAATTCTCTGTTTAATAAGATGTTTGTATTGCAATGTCAAGACGACGCTGTGGATTAAAAGAAAACTGAGAAAATAATTGTGGGAAGTTACGCATACTTACTTAAAATATGTAATTTAAAACCGATTTAAATTAATTTTACACACTTTTTAAGGGATAATAGATATTCATATGAAATTCAAAATCTCACATTAAATACTTTGTAATCAATACAGTAAATATAATAAATTCCATCCAACACCAAAACGGTGGTTATCCCAATTATTCTTATATCATATCTGTGCTTGGCAACAGACCATGTGGACCTTCATGAATGGCTATCCTCCATTATAATCTGTCAAGAAATTATTACGAAAAAAAAAAACTTAGAAACAAAAATTAAATAACTTTGAATGTTGGAATGGATTCATCTACCATTAGAAAGTATGAGAAAATTGTCATTTACCCCAGGAATATCCGTTTTATGGCACTTTTCGAATTCCCCTGAAGTAAAAAGTTGTTTTGTCTGGTGCCAATTGTCTAGTGCCTCCAAGCAACAAACAGGATTACTTTTACTCAGTACATAATTAAAATAGACATGTAAAGAATAACTCAATTTTAACTTAAAAATCCATCGCTTATTCATCATTAGTGAATTAAAATATTCACTCTTAAAACTCAGTTTTTTTTACATTTTATTCCTTTGCTATGAATAGTGATTTATATTGCACAACTCCAAATTATACAAATATTTGTTGATATTGCCACCACAGGTGGGTTTCTGTGTCTGTTATGTTTAATGCATATGGCACATTAGCTGATGTTGGATCACAAGAAAATATAACAATTAGAACAGTGGAGATGGATACTTTTGTTCATCATAGTAGATGTAAACCAGTTAACAATGATAAAACATATTAATAATAACAATTATGTAATTAAAAATTTAATAATGAAAATAACAAGCAAAAATATTCATCTACTTTTACATGTCCTAGTATTTAGCACATTACATTTAAAATTGCAATACCCCTTACAATATAACATTTTAAAATTACAATAATTAAGATAAAAAATGACAGATTAAGAGTTATCCAAATTTTTTGACAATTTGTTAAAGCATCTTAAAAAATATCCAAATATATCAAAGTCACAAATAAATATCACAGCTACAACAAAAGAATGCTGCAAAGTATAACTTCAGATAAAAATCAACTTTTTATATACATCAAAAATTGCATTCAGAAGAGGCCTCCCTTCCGGCACCCTTTAAAATATAAAATAACTTTCCTAGTAATTTAATAGTTTAAACTTAAGACCAATATTTAGACCGTCTTTAAATTATATCATTATTTTGTATAACAGGCCTGCAGTTAGCAATTGCAATTTCAAAAGGAGGGGTTCTTTTTCAGTAAAAAAAGAGGGCCTCTTACCTTGGAACATCCGTGTACCTACACTGTCAGAAAACAAGAGTGAGTGTACATTTGTTTTATCATTATTTAGAGGCAGCTTTATTGTATAAGTTGACAGTTTTTGACAGTGTTCACTTTGTTTATTATGCTGCATCTGCTGCTGTAATATTGACATAACAGGGTGGAACAAAAGTATTTGCTAGGTGTAGTATGGCGGAGTATGTAGAGGCTATCCCTCCAATAAGACCTATCAGAATGATTTCCCAGCACATCACTTTTACATGGAGTGGGACAAACCTAGAACAGAAGTCGTGGAAACAAATTTGTACTGAATACTTGTTTGTAAAAAGTTGTATACACTATAAAAATGTTTCAAGTAAATGAAACATGAATATTGTGCTGATCATGTCTTAATATCTGCAATAAATGATCTTATTTTTAAAGTATTTCTTGTTTCTTATTATAAAAAGGCAAATGGTTGAATGTTGAATCATGATAGATTGAAGTGTGAAAAAAAGCCACCTACTTTTCCTTCCAGTCTCCCTTCATAGCACAAAGTCTGAGGTAAAAGAATGGTGGGCAAATAAACGTCGTGAAGGTGACGGTGGACCCACCGACCAATGACAAGATGGCTCCAAAATGGGGGATACTCTCCGTGACAAACAGCACACACGCCATGACACAGGTCCGCAGTAGACAGCGCTTCCAACCAAACTCTGGACGAATTTACATTTTACAATAATTAAATAATAGTAAATAATAATAAAAACTTATTATGGGTAAAGTTAAATCAATAATTAAATAAAAGTAAATAATTCTGAAAACTTATTATAGGCAAAATTGAATCAAATATTAAATAATAGTAAATAATAAAAACAATTAATTATTATGGGCAAAATTGAATCAAATATTAAATAACAGTAAATAATAAAATTTTATTATTGGCAAAATTGAATCAAATATTAAATAATAGTAAACATGCAGCTACGTGTATTTATAGGACAGATGAATACATGTAGTCACAAGCAATGTTAACTTTTAAATATTATGGTCTGGTTGTGACAAAGAAAGTGGTCAATTTCTCTGCTTATATATACACCCATACCTCAGCAAAAAGACATTAAAATTTTTTTAAAAAAAAAAACAAAACAAAAAAAAAATCTAAATCTCAGCTGACAGATCTACATGACTTACTATTGGGAACTCTGAAGATTTCCTCCAGTTCCTGGAGAAAAGGGTTCAGTACCAGAACCAGGCCCATCATCAGGTGAAGGGTCAGCAGTATCTCCACTATATACAACATTGGACCTGGGGTTACAGAACGCAGAATGTTGTCATCCAGTTTGTGTCCAAGAAAGAAGTATGCCACTGCAGAGACTGGGATATACATACAGAGAACAACTGTAAAGGAAGAGGAAATGCATGTACAATGTCAACTTTACAATAATTTATAATACCAGAGATTTGATAAAGGGCTGAGAAAATTTTACTTTTTAAATCTCACTCAACTCACACAATTAACTGTAAAAAAGAAGCAGGGGGGAGGGGGTCTTCTGGGTCTTCTTTGACTCACATCAAAAGTCGCACATCAAAAATTGCAACTGTGGGTGAATAACAGGTCTTACGTATATATTCTCAGTGATGACTGTACCTCTATATTCTATCAATTTAAGTCTACTTTTGAAGAGCCACAAACATAAATTCCAGTAGCAATGAAAAGAAAACTCAATTACAATAATTAAAATCAAAACATTTTCCTTCTCAGTAAAACTCACTGCTGTATCCTATGGTGACAGACTTCCAAAATTCTTTGGGCTTTTTCATATCATGTTGGATGGTCGGGAAAACAGAGAGTCCCCCAAATGCAAACAGAATTGTTCCAAATGCCATGAAGAATGAGGTAAACCCCACAGGGTCATGTCTGACCGTCACACTGGACACCTGGTTGTGGTCCACAATTAGATTGGCAGTGAGAATGACACAGGCTATGGCAGTGGCCCCCATAGCTCCCATTGCTATAGGCCTGGAGGAAAAAAAAATAGAAATATTAAATATAAGATTGGCAGTGAGAATGACACAGGCTATGGCAGTGGCCCCCATAGCTCCCAATACTATCTTACTGGACAAAAAAAAAAGATGGCTATGCAGGAAAGTGGTAAAAGAAAAACTTTAAAGACAATTGATTTGGCACATGAATATATCTTACTGGTATTATTGCAGTAACTACAATTTTACAAAGAACAAAATGTATTTTGGATGCAAATGCTGTTAAAATCAAATAACAGTATCTCATACAATAAACAATACATAATTATGTCAGGGAGGTTTATAACATATAAAAGCTATTGCTTTACTACTAAAAGTTTACCAGAAATCTTTTGGTGTCCCCAGCCAGGTAAAAGGTGTTAAAAACCCAGCAATCAGAAGATTCCAGTAACAGAATGAAATCTCTGTGTGTCCTATATTCTCGGCCAATGATTGAATGTTTTCTGCTGCCAGTAACAGGAAGACCACACCCACTCCAAACAACTGGACATTATTGGCAAAGGACACTGAATATCTGTAGAGATATTGAGAAAAAAAGATATATTAATGAAATATTTTACTATTGCCTATTCTTCTATGACTTTGGCATATACCAGTGCTTAATAATTACTGCACATAATGATGACTACTGAGTTGATACTGTATCTTTCAATAGAAAATGAAATAATTTTTCACTGTCCGAAATAATCTTTTATCTATAATAATAATAATTTTGTAATTTCTTGTATAGTTGTACACATTTTACAAGCCCTACAATCTCAATAAACATAATGATATGAAGACTGGTAATAAAATAAATAAATTAAAGAATAAATAAAGAGCCTAAAGTAAAAATGAGTCAATATAAACCACATTGAACAGTTGTACTGGTAGTGCAGTATTTCTGTTAATACGGTAATGTGCCAAGCATTTCGACGGGCCCAGTCAATCCGACCACAAAAATTATATTATAAAATTAATTTTTCTGGGCTCAAACATTTAGTCCATACGTCAAAATCATGCGACAGAATTTTTTTCTTGTTCCAANTCGAATTGTTTGGCATATTACCGTATATTACTGGGTTTGTACTTGTACATACTGTTGTATGGATGCTTTCATTGTAAGTTACATAACATATATCAAGGTACATACATGTAAAAGTTAGCATGCAAATACAAAAACATACTGATAAAAATAAGCATGCTGGCAAGCCTTGTACATATAAGTATGAAACTGTAGTTGTACTGTAGATATCTGATATTAACACTTAATGTGCAATAATATTTAGGAATAATATGCAAAGCATCCATGATACATATAAAACAAAATCTAGTTTTTCTTCAACATAAACTTGGATCCATCATAACAGTAATTGAAAATACATGTATCACATAAAAAAGTGATTTCAAAACACCACTTTAAAGCCTGTATTGCATATGGTTACAATCCAAGACTAACTGTGCCATGCAAAAACTAATTTTTAAAAAAGCAATAATTTCAAACCCTAAAATTAAATTAAAATATACTGTCACTACAATAAAACATAAGCAAAACAAGTAGATAATATATCCATGCACACAACACAGCAAACACAAACCATGCTCATGCTAAAGATAACGAAAAAGTTAAATCACAATTATCTTAACTCTCTCCTAAATATTTAATATAATACAATATATTATATACTTACAAATCAAACCGAACTAAAAATATAACGAAATTGAGACTGATCTTAGGCAAACTTCATCAATTTGAAAGTAGAGATTATTATCAAAGAAATTATTACAAATGATGATTATTTACTTTTAACTGAAATTTGAAAAAGAAAACAAGTGGCACAAGTTACAACATAATTTTAACCATGATTTATGGAAACAGGTCCTGTGCATCTGTAATTATTTATTTATTATAATCATTCCCATTATGAAATATGTCTATTGTAACTGTGTATGTGTACTGGGGTCACTTACTTTCCCACTTTCCCCATGGCCCTGACACCAATAGAAGTATAGGGGTCTCTGGTGTCAGAGCGGTACTCCTCCCATCTCTCCTGTAGTATAATCCAGCACTGGCCCAGTAATACCCCGCAGTAACCAGAGATAAGACAACACACAAAGATCATCACCAAACCAAACCAACCTAAAACAAGTGGAGAAACAATACTGAAAAGTAACTTCAATTGTTCATAAAAATATTGATTATTTTTGAGCATTTTAATACAGTCTCTGCTTTTCTGGCAATTCGTTCTTTTTTTTTCCTTTTTGTTTATTTTAAGTGTTGTAGGTCTCATATGATAGCATCAAGTTTAATTTTTATTCTGACTACATACTCAAGTGCATATTCAAGACAAATACATGTATATTAGTAAGCAATTTAGCATTGCCAAATAATGGGACAACTTAATGATATCTTTAATTCATAAAGTTTTTTAATTTTTTTATTTAGAAGCTGGAGCTACCAGTAACAGTTATGCCTCAGATATCTTCTACTGAACCCCTGCTTACCCACCAGAATTCTCTACTGCCCTTGGCAGTGCCAGCACACCACTCCCTGCCATTTCTACTATAACACCATACATGTATATACCCACCAGAATTCTCTACTGCCCTTGGCAGTGCCAGCACACCACTCCCTGCCATTTCTACTATAACACCATACATGTATATAC